TAAGTCCCTGTAACTACATTAATACTGATAAAACCAGGCAAAAGAAGAAGAAGAAAGAAAAGAAAGGCAAGAAAGATTAGAGMAATTAGAAAAACAAAAACAAGAACTTCAGTTGCAACATCRGAAAACGCATCCACATCGAAACCATCTCACCAAGAAGCCATCCCGGGAATCAGTTCAACAGGCAACAGAACTAAACACTGATGATTCATTGTTTGTTGTGACACCTGTCAGTAGACGTAGACCAACCAGTGGGCTGAAAAAACAACAACACTTGAACGTAGAGATAAAGGTAAACCTTTGGTGTTTAGAGAGATTTTTTCTTCTCTCATCTTTTTATGCAGCCACATTTTCTCTCTATATATATTATTCTTCCAAATTTTGCTTTATGTCCCATGAAAATTAGTTAGTCTCCTATGCATCCGTTTTCGTGTTGGGCTTCCTGTGGGACAGGAAGCCCGAAACGAAAACGGATGCAAAGGAAACTAATGAAAATAAGATCTGAGATTATTAGAGTCCTAGATAAAAATTGTATGAAGTAGGGGTCACTATATCCCTGCTTTAAGAAGAGCAACAGGAATCCCGAGACGCAAAGCAGCTGTAACGGAAAACTATCAGCATTACTCATAGGCCGCACAACTTACTGCTTGAGAGAAAGAAAAGAACGAATGCACACTCTTTTATGCTATCAGCGCGCCCTCTAAGCAAAATGCGGATTACCTATAATTACCTGGATTACGGAATTACGTCACGATCGCGTCCCACGCGGGATACAGACAAGTCTGTGACAAGGTACGAAACACTGGTCACATGACAAATATAATTTTGCTCCTATTTCGTCGAAAATCAGCAAAAAACCACGAGATAAGGGGTCGTGACGTAATACCATATGTAATCCGCATTCTGCTTAGAGGGCGCGCTGATTACATAATAGGTGCGCATTTGTTCTTTTCTTTCTCTCAAGCAATAGTTGGGCGGCCTATGCATTACCGTAGTAAGACGTTTATTTCTTTGAAATCAGGAGAAAATTAATTATTCCGATGAATATGAAGAGGTAGCTGAYGAAACATCGATAGCAGTAAGTCTTTCTCTTACCCTATTTTTTTTCAGTTCACTTTATTAATTTCTTGAAAAAATGTACATTGACAATTTGACTTGGCATAGCGAGTCGTTTTGTTTTTGTCGGTACCATGATCTTARCAGTCTCACATTTACTTCACATGAAGACAAGCATGAACTATGAGGTGTACACTACTAAATTATAGAAAAATGTTTTTTTKATTTGATGACAAAGAGAGACAGGCAATACAAAAAATGAAGATGTCCAGTAGAACAATAGGCATTGTTTGACATAAGGCCTATAATAATTCTTTGTTTTTGTTGTCTCGATCAATCATAAGCTTCGTTCTGACGGTAGTGGTCAACCCTGAACTCCAAAAAGTCCGTCCGAACGAAATTAAAAATAGGCACTTACAACCTTTGAACCGCTGTACTTATAATAATGAGCTTTCAATTGCCGTTTATAGAACAGTCGACCAGTAACCTCCAACGATCGCATCACTAAACCAAGAGCTAAATCAGCAGGTAACGAACATCATAATCTAATTTTTACACCAAGCATTTATCATACTTCACATGTTAAAATAGACGATTTCTCAGATGTATAGGGAAATCGTGTGAGCGTGCGTGAAAAAGAGGAGCTTCGGCCGAAAATACCAGCGATTCAAGTGATATTTTAGAAAGTACACGCTGACCTCTAGGAAATCGTTTATTTTTGTTCAGGAAAAGCTCGTACATATACTCCACCAAGTCGGCCCAGGCCACGGTCTGCACACTCGGCCAAGCCATCGAATTTCGCAACTAACAGACGTAAACACATAGATCTAATAGAGAAGGACTTAAAACTAACAACCAAGACCTTGCAAGATCGCTTAGGTATTTCCAAGGAAGGGATGGTTTGACTTTCAAGGCTACTTACTAAAAAAAATGTCCCGCCGTTAACTCTCGGTCTGACAAACGTTTTTGAAATAGCTAAATATCTTAAGAAAGAGACAATCTACGTTTATAAGAAATAAGATAAAAATGGTATCGGTGTCACAGTTTGTCTCCAGATATGTGACTGTTGAATACGTCTGGACGGTCGTATCCGAATATTTGTGTCATGCGCATGCTCTCTTGACTTATCTTTGCAATGTACGAAGAGGATACATGTGGACGACTCCTATATGGTATCATGGTTCACGCTATAGGACCATGGTTCACGCTATAGTGTCATGGTTCACGCTATAGCAGCATGGTTCACATGGTACCTTGTTCGCGCTATGATATCATGATTCACGCTTATGGTACCCTGGTTCACGCTATGGTACCTTGTTCACGCTATGGTACCATGGTTCATGCTGTGGTATTGGTTTACGCTACAGTACAGCGGTTCATGCTATGGTACTGCTTCATGCTATGGTACAAAACGTTTTACACCCTACTCGACGATTCGTATGCGCTACTTTTGGACTATACAAAACTTTGGAAAAAACATTTCTGGACTCGTGCATTTGGACGGGGTCTTAACCAGACACTTTTACAGTAAAGAGAAATCGAAGTTTTTACACGAATTCAATCAGGATTGTAAAATGTTTATTGTTGTGATTTATCAAGTTGAATATTTACAGGTTTTTTTATGTTTATAATCAGTGAGGAAACGTATATAGAATGATGTATAAAGAATACAGTATTTCTTATTTGCACTAGCACACTACTAATTACTATTAGCTAATGTGCATACTGTAACAAGTTTGAGCAAAACGAAGGCACATTTAATTTTTATCTAAAAATACCACAATTTTTCACTTCTTATACAGTACYAAAAAACTTTACAAGAGAAATGCGATACTGAATCACAGCTATACAATACGCCAAGACACTAAACCATTCATAATAGTCACAACAATTGGCATTTCCCAATGGAGCTTCGAAGAGGTACTTGAAGGGTTTTTGGCGCTATGTACATCTCCTGTGCCTGTAGCCTTCGTCATGGTCACGGGAACCGCTGTCGTCGGTGTAACGCCATTACAATAATCTTTTGAACATCTTGTAAAAATACATGATTTCACTTGCAATCCAGTGCTCTGATTGTAGTATCTAGTACAGTTGGCGAAGGGAAAGCAGTTTTTGATATACGTTATCTTTATTGGTATATTTTGGATTGMGAAAGTAACGTTTTGGGTACCGCATGGGGTGCCGGGATTGCAGTCCACAACAGTCGAGTTTTTGTCACATTCTTCTAGACTGTCCGCCAAGCATTGATAGCACTTCAGTGAATGAGCTGTGAACAAAAAAGATTTTTCGTTAATATGGGAATGTTTCTTTCAAAGGATCATGACCAACCGGCATCCAGTGCGGTCATGTTTATGAGATTATTCGTATTTTTATTATAGCTATCATAATACGCGCTCTATGATTGGTCAGATGTTATTGTTTATTTCACTGGTAAACACATGGATGCGAAAATGCTATAATAAAAAAGCAATAAACAACACATTTTCGTGCGTTCCTGGTGGAATAAACCACGCGGGATATTGGGAAAACACTCAAAAAGCTGAAAATCTCTCGCCTCATTGTTACGCCTTTTTCGTGTTCACTCAACATTCTGCGTACCCAGCGTTTTCCACCATAGAAGGGGGTGGAAAAATCTTCTGATCGCAGAGTTCATACCGCGTGGTTTATTTCACTAGGAACGCACGTGTTGTTTATTGCTTAAATGGAAAATGGCTGAATCTCGAAATATCCACGATATGTTTCCATCTGTCGGTTTGGCCATTTATATACCATATAAAGCTTTACAACTTAATTGTTTGATATAATTCACAGGGATCATAGTGACAAAAAAACTCTTGAATCTTCCACTCTTCATAATAAAGATATATTAAAGTTTGGCCATTTATATACCATATAAAGCTTTACAACTTAATTGTTTGATATAATTCACAGGGATCATAGTGACAAAAAAACTCTTGAATCTTCCACTCTTCATAATAAAGATATATTAAAGTTTGGCCATTTATATACCATATAAAGCTTTACAACTTAATTGTTTGATATAATTCACAGGGATCATAGTGACAAAAAAACCCTTGAATCTTCCACTCTTCATAATAAAGATATATTAAACTGTCTAAACTGGCACAAATGCATCTGAGTCAATTGAAACCCAGGGGACTAGGGGCCGTGGTCTCAATTGACTAAAGTACTTGGGGAGAGGGAGAAGGGCCTACTCGTCTGCTTTGTTTTAAAAAACTTGACCATCACGCCCATGGTAAAGTGAAACTTCCCTTGACGTCATAAATGACTCAAATTGAAATAAAATACAATCGTTCTTCTACCTTTCTACCTTTAACATTATTTTCAGCCATGCCAAACTAGAATGCCAAGCTTATCTCTTAAACAGTGATACTGTATTTTTGCTCTTAAATGAATGTTCTGTATCTTGTTTAGGATTTTAGTATTTTTAAGTGTCTGCTTAAATCGTCGTGACCTCCTAGCGACCTAGACGTGATGTATGACAAAATTTTGCGACATTTCTGTCCATAGTTTCGAAACACTCAAATCTCAATTAAACTGAAAACAACTCCAGATGGTTAAATAGCACTTGCTTTGAATTCAGTTAAAGCAAATGACGTTTAACAGAATATTATAAATTTGAGTTTCCTTGTAGTTTCAATATTGTGTTTAAAAATCACATTTAATACTAGTGAATTTTCAGTTATTTTATTTTAGTAACTAAGCCAAGAACGTTTCAAATGCAGTACCTTTAACACAAACTATAGCGAAGAGAGAAAATATCAAACCTCTGGAACCATGGTACAAACGCAGTGTCCGATGCATAAACAGAACATAGGACATATCATGTAAAAAAACATCTGAAACCCTTATATTATATTTAATATTTATATTTCAACGTGTCTTATTGTCATACCGTATAAAAGGTTAAGAAGCTATTGACTCTGATATTTCAGTGCTGCGATGAAGCATAATAAGAAGTGAAAGATATTAAGCCCTCGTCACATTCTGATGACATTCGCTAACATTAAATACGGTATTGACATACTTTTCTGCTGATAACATTGTCAAGGGATTTGCATTTCGCGCACATATGTATTTTGGGCGATACTTTGTGGAAGAAATTCCGATAAATGAGCATTCAAATTTCTGCAATATACTGTGGGATAAATATTCCCTTCATACTTAAGTGCTGTATGACTGTCATAGCAGGCAGACCTCTCTATTCGCATATTTGGAATAATTCAATTGGTGCCGTGACTATATTCTAAAAATATTCGTAAAAAAAATTACACGGTACTCACTGATGTTTGGTCTTCCGACAAATAAAGTATTTTTACCGTAAAAAGCAATTAACGATAGCACATTTGAAGTCTTCCCGATAAAACGCATCGATCAAATATCAAGATATCTCGGTGGTTCAAGTAAATGACTTAATTTTAAAACAGTATAATGCAGGCATCAATGTAGCTGTCACCTAGCGTTGTTTCATGGTCATTCCTCAAGGCGGAATACTAATGAAGCGCTGTTTCTGCCTAGTAATTCGCTGWTGAASGACATACCTTTCGTGATGAYACTGACTAGCACACAAGAAAATACCAACTGYGCTACAACAGACATGACAATATTGAAGTTCTTTCCTCCCTAAGTTTGAGTTARCTGCTTGAAGATATTAAATCAACTGAGRCCACTTCGAGAGCGAGTTCAATTTAAGCACTGGAAGCGRGTTGAGCAATGGTTAAGTTACGTTAAGCGTCCCACATCCGGTGGTGTAATGCTAACGTTTGTTCCCCGTACGGGAAGGGCGAGGCTGCATTGTCACATCATTATAATGTATCGTGACTGTGATCACATGATGAAAAGCTACTAAAATTGTCGCCAAATTATCACCTGACGACTTAGAAATCACATATGTATTGCGTTATAAGGMATTTGTTTTTGTGGGATTTTGTTTGGCTTTGCAAASTGTTGGGAACGCCRTTTCCTTGTTGATTTAGCTCAGCATGTAAGACCCGTGGTTAATCAAGCTAGTCAAATGGCGACTTGATGATTTAGTTCTGTACTCCCTGAAAGACATTTTAAGACCGAAACTTCCCCTTTAGGCTCAAAGGTAAATATATTGAGCCCTTGTACTTTTCCGCTTCTTTAAGTGAACAATAGAACAGTCCCGAAATTACAGTCATTTACAAAACTTCTGGCCGGTAGTTCTTCAATTGACTGCAACCTGCAAAAAATAATAATTACAAACTTAGACAGTGGACTTCCAAAAGTCAAGATAACCTCATAACTCATTTGGTATCGCCAGAAACTCAGAGTTTCTGGTATCGCTGACATACAAGCTCTTTTCGTTGCATGTGATCCTTACATTCTTGAATCCACATCGAATATCAATCCCAAAATAATTACTAGTAAATATTCATTCGGAAGCCTATATAATTGTGATTTCATCCCTACATCTGGGTTGGGTTTATATTCTTGATTATAAATGAACGTCCCGGCGAAAGTGAATTTGTGACTCGAGTATTGAAAGTACACGTCAAGAACCGAACAAGACCAAACATTGAATCGCAAATGCTATGGTATCGAAATGTCTCACTTTTCTTTTATAGTGCTCCTGACATTTTCATCTGGGTTGCAATTACTATGTATTATACTATCTGTTGAACCGTTTATTAAAACTGATGAGAGTGAGGCTCCGTCTGGATACGTGTCCAGAATTCAGTTTGTTTCCGGATTTTTACTGAGTCCGGTTGCAAAATTTTGTACCTACACACGTAACGTATACGAATAGTATATACGACATTCCACAGTGTTCTCCTGAGATTTCTGTATTAATAGTTTTCTCCCAGTTCCATGAGATTCAAAAGATAAAAGACCGGCGGCCATTTTGGAGGAATGAACAATAGATACTAGAGAAATCCTTTGTTAGAGTTCCTCCAAGACGGCTGTAACTCGAAATCCAACTCGAAGTCGAACTCGAACTCGAATTCCAACTCGATGGTTTGTGTCTACCCGAAGAACACGATGCGGGACAAGTCTCAGGGCGCTATCTTAATCCGAATAAAAACATTTGCGGTTCCATTATATCTGGGTTAATATTAATCCACATGTGAAAGGTACTAAATGCAGCTTAGCATGCCATGCATTTCGAATTCAATTTCAATATGCACGGCCAACAAAAATTTGATTCAAGACTGTGGCGTTTAATGATGATTACCCAGTAATGGGCCAAGTCGTCGAGCAGTTACTTGGCCGTGCCCATTTTATACTAATTTTTACGGCGCTCTATAATATATCATTTCAAGGCCAAATGCATTTCCCACCAAGTCATTCCACTTGCGGTTATCAGTAACATTAATGTACAAACCACGATTCGTACGGTTCCTATGACTAATGGAAAATAGACTGACAGTGTTAGAAATAGAGCTAAATAGAAAACAATCGACATGTGAATAAAAGGTTTTGTCCAGACCAGTTTGTTTGTGTAGATTATTTACAAGAATTGTAAGCTGTTTGGGATTTCCATATTTGTTTTTTGTTCTTTAAGGTGAAGAAGAACAATACAATAACTTACCAAAATGCTTTATTTAGAACGGGTCCATTTGACGTCATGGATTAAGTGATCATGATGTGCTAATTATAGCAGTGTATAGTTTTTTTTTTTTGTTTTTTTTTTTGTATTTTTACTAGTATTTTTTTTATTATTATTTCTTAAAAGAACTAAGAAATGAAGGACAAGGACTTATATTTTAATATTTCCGCGGTATTGCAAAGCCATCACCAGGTACAATGACCAGTTAATATGGTACTAATCAGTATAACCTTATAAACAAAACTGGAAAAATGTCTTCTTTAAAAAACAAAACTTTTTATGGATCAAAACTTAATGTGCTTCTACTAAACACGATGCATCAATGCAGTTTTACTGCCTCCGACTTACAATATATTGAGGTGTTTAAACAGACATAATAGTCATTAATAACAGTATTCCACAACGAAGCGTCCATGAAGCACTTGGTGGACTAGCATTTACAATTGGACTGGTGCTGTTATTTTGACCGTCTAGTGCTGTAGTTACTGGTGGATTGGTGCTGTTATTTTGGCTGTCTGGTGCTGTAGTTACTTGTGGATTGGTGCTGTTATTTTGACTGTCTGGTACTGTTGTTGCTGGTGGATTGGTGCTGTTATTTTGGCCGTCTGGTGCTGTAGTTACTGGTGGATTGGTGCTGTTATTTTGGCTGTCTGGCGCTGTAGTTACTGGTTGGCTTCCTAAAATACAATTGAATTTTAAGCAGTTCAAAGGTAGTTGTTTTGTAAGAGTAAAGATGTTAGGATGATAACGAGGCATGTATTTTTTCCAGCGATCCTTGGAAACGTTTTTGATGGTGATTTATGACATAATCTCATTTCCAATGCTGATAACTACCAAGACATACCCAAAAAATTATTAACGGTTAATTTGATCGCTGTTCCAATACTATTGATTCCCTAGTCCCACGTATTTCCTTACTATAATGGAAAGGAGTACTTACTATTAAAAGACACAATAATAGTAGTCTCTTTTGGACCGGCCTTTGACGTTTTGAGTGGCAGTTATACATACATCTTTCATGTGAATCGTATTTAGACAGATAAAATCCTTCAATTATTCCTGGCTTGACTATCAGTCTCTGATAGTGAAAACTGCACTAGTAACCATTTAAGCCCTCCGCTACTCCTTTTTGGATATTCAGCGTAAAAAAAGTTGTATCCACAGACATATCGGCAAAAAGAGGAAAAAAGTTGGCAAGCGCGCAGAGCCCTTTCTCCTATTTAACAATTAGACCTCGAGGTCGAGTGGACTACGAGCTAATAGCCCATGAGGCCGAGTCCGCGAGGCCGAATGGGCTATTAGCTCGTAGTCCACGAGGCCGAGAGGTCTAATTGTTTTAGTATAAACATACTAATCGGTCAAATAATGAAAACAAATTGAAATATCCTTAAAATAATTTAGAATTTAGAATTTATTTATTTTGATTTTCCCGCTAGTGGTCTATCACAAATTAGACCATTAGTAGAGTAGCCAATCACAGCGCAGTATGAGTGATAGACCATTAGTATGTTTATACTAAAGCCAATTATATAAACATCTAAAACATTTTGCATATTTTTTACGATTTGAACAAGTACCAGAGTACCAGATACTTACTGTATACAGTTAATGTAGTCGATTTTGGACCAGGATTTGTAATTATATTAGCTAGAGAGATAATGCAGCTGTATATATAGATTCCCTTCAAAACGTCAACTTGCGTACCATCTTTATTTTGGCCTTGATTGGTAACGTCTTTGATCGTGAAAGCTGCAGAACCATTTGAGCCTCCCGCTGCTCCTTTTTGAACACTCAGAGTAAACAAAGAATGGTCAACATCTGTGTTATCATTGATAGCAAAGTATGTTGCAATGGTTTTCTCTGTGGCGTCTTTATTTCCCTTCACGTACCGTTTGATTTCAATTTGAGACAAAAATTCAGTCTTTTGGCTATTCTTTGATAATTTCCATTCCCATCTCATCGTCACCGATTTTGTATTCGGATAGGAAATCTTTATCTCTGGATTAGGATACTGTATCCAGCTGTAAGCACCTGATAAGAAAACACAAAGTTTTATATAGACTGACATTATATAGACTGATACGTCTGCCTAAAACTTGAATTTTAACACAGACCACCTCTCAATACTAATATCTTACCCGTCGTACACAAGAACCCTGAGGTACATTAACAGGAACTAGTGTTTCCATTGTCTGATAAAAAGTGGGAAAGATCGAAGCTCTGTAATTTACCCGATCTGGCGAAGTCAACAAAAGTTTTCTTAAGTTTTTTTAGTTGAATTGTCCATCAACAAAATAGATTCCAAAAAATAGTTTCAAAAAAGAGAAAATGACGGAAATACAGATAATAATGTCTTCGACATTGAAGTTGAAAGTGCACTTCAAATTCTCAAAGATCGGACACCTTCCGCAAGAAGGTAAAACAAATCTACTTTTAGCTGGTTTTCCGCGTCCATGCAGGAATGTACGGTTCTCATTTTAACCGATCATGGGTTGCGTTATAAACTTGCTGTAAATACAAGTTGTTCACCCTTTCGAAATGGGCTGTATACGCCAGTGCAACAATTTCATTCCAGTTCGCCATTAGAAATGAAGTATATTCATCTGTCCCATCATCATCATCAAAATTGTTCATTTGCCGCTGACATTTCAAGAAAAAAGCGCGGCCTTCATAAAAGTCATCCTTTCAACCCTCAAATGCTTTGATATCAGGACAAAATAGACGAGATACTTGTCGAGATACTTGTCGTAGTCTCGGCTAATAAATCTTTTTAAAAAAGTTATAAATTCTACTTACTTGAACGAGGGAACTCTACGTAACAGATCGCTACAAAGAGCAACAATGCAGCAGTCACTCTCACAGACATTGTTTGGAATCCTCGTGCACTTTGTCAACTGTGTTCTGTACTAAAGAAAACAAGTCTATTAAGAGATCGCAACTCCAAAATGAAGGCTGTTATAACGGACACACTTCGCGGAATCGCGGAAAAGAATCCAGTTTAAGGAACCTGAAGATGCACTTCGCTGGACGTAGAAAATAGACTGCCCTTGACTTCTGAACTCCTCGACCGTGAAACTCGTCGTTTTGTAGTCGTTTTATGTATTGAACTCTATAAATGTTCTTCTGGTAATAAGAAGCTTTATCACAATTTTGTTAGTGCATTTGAGTTCTCGATTAAATTGTTTCAATATATTTAGTTCAGTTTCCATCCCAAAACCACATCTAAAGTTTCACCCTCTAGTGGTGGTTCTAAATATACGCCACAACGCAGACTGTGTGATGTAATAACACTAAGTAAAATAACTTTAAGAGCATATACTCAAAATCCATTATAATTTCACGTTCTACAATTGGTTCTTAAAAAAGAACTCCACTGAGTGAATACCATATGGAATAAATCTAAAAAAGCGCTTCTAAATCATTCCCTTTTTTTCAACGAATCAACCTGTATTCTACTGAGTTGATTCTGTGTTTACTGGAGTATTAATTTCAGTTTATTTGAGAATAGACACAAAACTCTCAAAACGAATGGAGATTGAGAGATGATTCAAGCTAACCCACCCCTCCAATGAAGACAAAAAAAAATGCGGTACGACAATGAAAAAGACAAAGCACTTTTATATTACTTGCAAGTTGCTTTTGGGAAGCATTTATTCAACAAATAAAATCTAAAACAACAAAGCGACTAAGTACACGAGGTAACTAATTTAGTCATGAAATATTCACCCTCCTGTTTTGAAAACCCAACTATGTAATAATGCACATATTCATTTACTTGCAAGATTTGTTTAAAAAAGATGTAACATGATTCACCTTCAACGAAAACAAAGGTACCTCTTTAAAACCAAAAATTATCGACCAAAACATTACTTTCTACTATTCAAAATACACGTGCAGACCAAAACACAAAATACACAGACCAAAAGCATTCTAAACAACGCCGGACTTGTGTTAAGGCATAAATGCAGATATAATAGTCATTAATAATGGTATTTCGCAGCGAAGCTTCGATAACATAGTCGATGAACTTGCTGTTGGATTGGCTCTATTACGTTGCCTGTCTGGTGCCTCAATCACTGGGGGATTGGTGCTGTTATTTTGACTGTCTGGTGCTGTAGTTACTGGTGGATTGGTGCTGTTATTTTGACTGTCTGGTGCTGTAGTTACTGGTGAATTGGTGCTATTATTTTGACTGTCTGGTGCTGTTGTTACTGGTGGATTGGTGCTTTTATTTTGGCTGTCTGGTGCTGTAGTTACTGGTGTACTGGTGTTGTTATTTTGTTTTTCTGGGAGATTGATGGCCATTATGTTGTTTTGAATGTCTGGTGTTAATGATGTATTTTTGTTGTCCGTTGCTGTAGTCACTACTTGATTGGTGCTGATATTTCTGTTGTCTGTTGCTGTTGTTGCTGATGAATTGTTACTGGTATTTTGTCTGTCTGGTGCTGTAGTTGCTGGTGGATTGGTGCTGCAAGTCCTATTTGTAGATACAATTAGTGTAGTCGCTCTTGTACCTGGGTTATCAGTTGAGAAAGCTACAGTAAGATGGCAGCTGTATGTATAGTTTGCAGTGGAATTGCTGTCTCTTGTACCATCTTTATACTTTTCTTGTTTGGCAATATCTTTGATAGTGAATACTGCAGAGCCATTTGTGCCTCCTGCTCCTCCTGCTTCAAACTTCAACGAGAAAAACGTATCTTCCGTGAAAGCATCGTCAATAGCAGCAAATTGGATTGCAATAGTTTTCTTTGAAGCAAGTTTACTTCCCGTTCTGATTTCAAATTTATTGATAACTTCTCTTGTAGTAATTCCGGTTTCTACTGACCATCCCCATTTCAACGTCACCGCGGATTTTGTAGTTGGGTAGGCAATTTTTGTCTCTGCATTAGGTTGTCTGTAAGCACCTAAAAGAAATACAACATATTCAACACCAAGTTCTTTATTCCTCCGTACATTAGAAATGAAGTAGTCAATGAGAGGTAAAATTGCGTACTGCAGTTTTCATGTGACCTCTTTTCCATAAATTAGGCTCTTATTGATCAGGATGTTTGTCTAGTTGATTCTTGTTCGCTATCGACTTACGAAGACATTTTTTTCGTGATTTCATAAATTCAAAAGAGGTAATCTACCAAGAGGCTTCACTTTACTACTACATACAATGTTATCGTGGAAAGAGTATCGTTTCTATAGTTTACCGCAGTGACGTCTTCTAGTTTACCATGAACTAGCCGAACAAATTCAAATTCATCCTCAAAAAGCAAGAACTCGGTCTATTTTGACCCAAAAAATTAGTCTATGATACATGTATAGACATCAATGATATTCTCTTTGTCGTCTTTTATTTCTAGCATTTAAGGGTTAAAACATGTGGAAATAGGAATCATGATATTATTGATTTA